CAGAGGGTTGCAGGAGGTCATCGCAGCTGGAAACAGCACTCGAGAGGGCCATGGGAGGCCCGTCAAGCTCCATTTACTGGCATAGGATATCAGGAGGCCATCGTGGCCGAAAACAGAGCTCGGGAGCCCGTTTTCGCTGGCAGAGCACTCAGGCAACCACAAGCGCAACCGACAGGAGTGACATCGAGCTGGCCATGACTCCCACCCCACAAGGTCAAGCACAACCCTGGTATGGCCCTCAGTGAAATCGAGTTTGACACCCCTGTGGCTAGATACTACTTAGAACAGGAATTGGTATACTGCTAGTGAAGGTAATGAAAATTTATTTAAATACTGGATTTTATCTTCAAACAATTTTGACATGTAGACATTGATCTGGCTATGTCAGAATTTAGAGCAGCTGCTGCAATGTTACCCTTGGCCAAAGATTTGCCTCCTCCTTATGATTCTGGGAAGACGGATGTATTCAAAGCAGCTAATTCCTACGCAGAAGTTAGGAAGTGATGCTGCAAGAACCACATCACATTACATCAATCTACTTTCAGGTGAAAAACAAAATCCCACTGCACAAGACTACAGTATTCCGTTTTGGCCTTTTTAGGATCAAAGAAGAATTATTTTGATATATTAGTAACGTGCAGAGGATGAAAGTAGCTAAAGTAAAACCATTAGAAGAACGAAATGAGGTATCTCCAACTCAGGCGAATTCAGTCCCAGTTATCTGATGTTTAAAATCTTCTTTCTACATGGACTGTTAATTCACATAGCTGCTCATGTCACGAAACAAGTGACTGCGAGGTGTACACAAAAACTAAATGCCTAAAACAACTATCATCATAAAAAGTTCTAACAACAAAGCTAAGAAAAGAAGTAGTAGGTTAAGTGATATTAATAATAATGGAGTTGTCTCATTAGCTGACCAGTCTAGAGGCTTTCTAGGAGCCTGGGGAGGGTGAAAACGGCCTCCCCGCCTGCCCCCAGCCCTCCGTAGGCTGGAAACCGCCCGTTTTCCAATTTCCGGTTTGCATGTTGGGCCGTTTTTCACCCTCTGGAGACTTCAGGGAAGCCTCCTGAAGCTTCCAAAGGGAGAAAAATGGCCCAACATGCAAACCGGAAGTCTGCTTCCAAACTTCCAGTTTGCGTGTTGGGTTCAGGGAAGCCTCCGGAGGGCAAAAAACGGTCAAAAATGAAGGCTGAAATCAGCTCGCCAACGCCTCGTGTGCCCTAAGAAATGCCACCTGTGACATGCGTGCCATAGGTTCACCATCACGGGCTTAGGGCAAGGGTGTTCCACCTTGGCAACTTTAAGACTTGTGGACTTCAGCTCCAAGCCAAGGGGTGGCTGGGGAATTCTGGGAGTTGAAGTCTCCAGGTCCTAAAGTTGCCCCTGGCCTGCCCAATGTACCTCTCCCAAGACGACAAAACTTGTAAATGCTCTCTCGGCTACATCTGGTGGGATAGACAAATGTAATTGAGAAGAGGTGGTCCCATCCATGCCATGTAGGGAGGTCAACACTAGGACCTTGAATTGGACAAACTGGGAATCAGTGCATCCTGTTAACTGGAGGTGTCCTACCAGAATATAGATAAGATGCTTTAGGGATGATAATATGGCAATATGGAGAAAACCTAAGGTAATTATTGGACAAAGTGAAGCATGTGCCTCTCAACAACGTGGACTGGTTCAAGGTAACAGTGATGATTTGATTAACAGAGTTGGAAGGGACCTTGTAGGTTATCTAGTCCAATCCCCCACCTCACCCAAGCTGGAGACCCTACACCATTTCTTACAGATGATCAAGCAGCATATTCAACCTCTCTATTCAAAATGGGTCATGCAGAGTAGTAAACATGGCAGTTTCTGCTATCACAGCCATATTAGGTCAAATGCTACTAGGGGTTTCTCTAAAGGTAAACATAGAGCTTTATAATATAGTTTAATGAGGAAACTTAATGCCTCTTTAGGGGCATTTCACTTTTATGCATCTCACCTAAGGACCTCAAATTTCTAGGCCTGATTAAAGATGTTTTTTTTACAGGACAGGCTAAACAGTAGATTTTATCAGAAGGTTATATGGGGGGGGGGGGGGGGAGCCTGCACAGCCATTTGAATGGACTGCATTTTGAAACATCAGTTTCATTAAACTGGAGGCTAGAAGTTTGCTGTTCTCATTATATTTCATAGGGGTTTGCATTGCAAGCATCTCAGAGGGATTGAGTCCTCTTATCTGAGCAGGCTATTGAAATTGGGTCTATGACAATTCACCACAGCCACCTTGCTATGGTCAACTCACCACAAGACAACTCGCTGCGGGACAAGAGTTACACTAATATCACAGAAATGGGGGAATAGAATTGTTAAAGAAAGGATGCAAAAGGAGGGGCAGAATGAAATGTGAGTGGCAAAAATTAAAATAATTTTTATTTGTTAGAGAATTAAATTGAATTTGTAAATTGTCCCACAGTGACTTATCCAGTGGCGAGTTGGCCATGTTGAGTTGGCTGTGGTAAGTGGTCCCATTCCCACTGCAACCAACCATTTAAGAGCCCCAATGAAGCAAAACACCCTTCCAGTGATTCACAGTGGCACATATAGACTTTTACAATGTGGTGAGCAAGGGATCTGGATGAGCTGGTGACCTGCAGTTAAGTTTAGCGTTGTCCTCCACTGTTGCTCCAATGGGCTTCCTTCACCTCTTCTTTTTAAGAAGACCTGCGTCCAATTTGAAATTACATGCATGGCATCTCTAAGCACGGCCCTTCAGAAGCAACACGAAGACCGTGAGAACCACCAGCTGAATTTTCAATTGGCTTAGAAGGTATAAATTAGATTTCTCAGGGCAGTTTTCCACTTGGTCCTTATCTTGAACCAATGAGAAAAAGACAGATCTGCCATACACCGTTAACTCAATCATAGCTGCCATTCGGGGTGGGATTCAGCCGGTTTGGGCGAACCAGATGCTAATTTTGCATCTGGTTTGCCAAACCAGTTGTTGCAAAGACCAGCTGGCCCCACCCACCCCTCACCTCCCAGGAGTCTCCACATGGCCTGTTCATCGTGCCAGTTAGGTACAGGATCTGCAGGGAGGCTCTGGGAGGGCGAAGAACAGATCTACCGGAAGTTCCGGAAGTCCAGAAACGGACCCATTTCAGCCTTCTTCAATGTAAGCTTATACTGACACCTCCACAATTTCTATATTTTTATAGAGAGACTTCCTTTCCATACTTCTGTTATTAACAAAATAATAAATATTAATAGATTATTATTCTCATCAACTGATATTCACACTTTGTTAGGGAACGCTAACCTCCTCTTTGTCATCTGAATGTCTTGCTCTCAGGGCCATCAATTTTAGGGATTTTAGTTGCACCATTTACTAGTTTATAAGATTTATTTATTATTCTAACATAAGGTTTGGTTTCTCTCAAAGACCTACCCCCCCCTTTACATATATTTTTTACTGTAGATATTTTATTGCTATATCTTCTTTATTATCATCTACCAAGCACCTTCAGACTAGTGAGTAACAAATATAGAAAATAATATAGCCTTACTTTCAGCTAGTTGAAATGCAGCCTTTAGGGGTATTATTATTATTATTATTATTAGACTGGCCCGGGGGAGACTGTTTTCGCCCTCCCGGAGGCTCAAGGAAAGCCTCTGGAGTCCGTGGAGGGTGAAAACGCCCTCCCCCCACCTTGAGAAGGCCAAGTAAGTTATGCCCCCCATGACCACGCCCACCCAGCAACCAGGCAGAGGATGCTCCACCGGTGGTCCAGAGAAAAGGGGAATCTGTACAATTTTTCCATCATATAGAACAGAATCATTCAGCTACATAGAGATGTCGCAAAGCTTGGCTTTAAAAAGGTATTTTTTCCTAGCTGTACTGAAAAGAACTGAGTTTCCTTTTGCTGATACAAGCGTTAACGGGTTTAAATGTTTAAAAGAGGGTCTGTGATGTGAATAATGTGCTACACACTTAAGCTGACAGGCTTGATCTTATCAATATGATAATATATCAGTTCACCTAGTGACTCTGAGAAATTTAATCCTGCAATAAATCTCTCCAGCAAATTCTCCAAATCTAGCCTTCCTTTCCCTTAAACACCGCCAAGGCCTTCACACCAGCCACAGGATGCAATTCAACAACTTCATAACATCATTTCTTTCCAGATATAAATAGACTCCGCACTGGCCAGATTTATCCTACACAAAATCAACTTGCAAAGTAGCAGCTGTGTGGGCCAGCCTGCGTGTGAATCTTTTGAAGGAAATTAAAAAAGGAGATGGTGAAAGGAAAGGCTGAAAAAGATATCACTTTTGAAAACAAAGAGGGGAAGAGGGCACTAAAAGGACTTCAAACCCTGTCTTTCCAGGATGATCTTTTTTCTTCTTTTCTTGGAGTCCTAAATAGTGTGTGGTGTGTGTGTGTGTGTGTGTGTGTGTGTGTGTGTGTGTATAAAACGATGCCATTTGAATAAAGGGATTTCAAGTCAAAATTTGTCCCCACATACGTATTCCTACATATGAGCCCTCTGCATCCATTGGTATGAGTTTTCAACAGAACATGTTCTTTTGTGTTTAGATGGTGCACACATGCCACAAAAAGCACTTTTGCCTTTCTCACACAGGAGTGTTATTTAGAACACAGAATCATAAAAGAGACCTCAAAGGTCTTCTAGTCCAATCCATGCTTAAGGCCAATTTCCCCCAAAGGGTTAAACATAAAGGAAAAGGTTCTCCTCGCACATATATACTAGTCGTTCCCGACTCTAGGGGGAAGGTGCTCATCTCCATTTCAAAGCTGAAGAGCCAGCGTTGTCCGAAGACATCTCTGTGGTCATGTGGCCAGCATGACTAAACACCGAAGGCGCACAGAACGCTGTTACCTTCCCACCAAAGGGGGTCTCTATTTTTCTACTTTCTATATGCTTTTGAACTGCTAGGTTGGCAGAAGCTGGGACAAGTAACGGGCGCTCACTCCTTTATGCGGCGCTAGGGATTCGAACCGCCAAACTGCTGGCCTTTTTGATCGATAAGTTCAGCATCTTAGCCACTGAGCCACCGCATCCCCAAAGAGTTACAGTTCTCTAATTTGCTGCCATTTTTAATTCTGATCCCCACCACCACCCCGGGTGCAGCAGACTAATTTTCTAAAATTTGGAGTAACTCCAAGCAACCAATTAACTGACTCAAAACTGATGCAGAGTTTAAAATTGAAAACATTACTGTCTTTAGTAATTGGGGTGCAAGGGGGGAGGGGGGAGAAAGGCACCCTACTAGCCAATTTGCTGGTATTTTTTGTAGCTTAAAGGGATATACACCAAGCTACTCATGCCCAGGAAGGAAGGAAGAATAACACACTGATTCCATCCAAATGGGGGGGGGGGGAGAAGAGAAAAGGACAGGAGGGAGAGAGATGAATGCTGTTGTTACCTTAAGAAATGATTCCCCCCATCATTTAATGCTAGAGAGAAAAGTTGTCAGCCTGTGCAGGTTGTCAGTCCAATACGAAATCTAAGAAGCAGGTTGAATAAACATGCCCCTTCCTGAAATCCTTGACAAAAACAAAAACTGCCCTTAGCAGAGTCCACAGATCTACAATTTTCCAAAAGGGCAACGGCCTCTATCCGAGCTGGATTTGTCCCGAGAACATAGTCAGCAACACCATGATCGTGAATCCCGTCAGGAGTCCGGCGTTCTGAATTGCAAATGCAATCAAAGCACTTCCGCTCCTTTCGTCTTCTTTGCTGACTTCATTCATCTCTGGGAACTTATAGATCGAGAAAATCAATTAGAGCGGTTGAATCAGGGGCAAAATCTACTTACCTTTGCTACCAGTTAGCAAATGGGAGTGCCCACGTACGCACTCGCATGTGGCACCTCTGTGCATGCGCAGGAATTCTGCGCATGCGTAGAACATCAAAAACGATGTGATGACATTGTGGGGGGGGGTGGAGCCTGCTACCGAGCGCGCCTGCAAAGGTAAGTAGAACAGCGAGGGGGGTGGGAAATCCGCGGTATTTCCAACGATCAGCTCTGCCACGTGATTTAGATTACTGTATTTTTGGACTATAAGACGCACCAGTGGCTTATAGTGACAGGGCTTCAGGAAGCCAAAAATGGATGTATTCAAGATATAAGGCGCACCAACATTTCCATGCTCTTTAAGTGGGGGAGAAAGGTGTGTCTTATACTCCAAAAAATACGGTAGCTAGAAAGCAGGAAGTCCGACATTTCTAACTAATATAAATCCTGCGTCACAGCTGATCGTGAGAACAACTGTTTTGCCTGAACTGGTAGCATTCTTTAACACCGGTTCGGGCAAACCCGTAGCATTGGAGCGAATCAGTCCAAACCAGTAGCATTTCAACCCTGGGTTAGATCCTTCCCCCCCTTTTTTTCGTTCTACCGCAAATACAAAACTTTTTTTTTTGGTTTTGGCAAGTTTGTAAATCAAACGGGGGCAGGGCGGAAGCCAGGGCTGGGATTTGGAGGTTCTCCGAACTGGCCATAACGTTAGCTACAGGTTCACTTGAATCTGGGTGAAACCATAGCAACCACTCCTGGCTCCAGCATGAGTCTGAATGCTCAGAAGACTTAACCTCTGGTCCCGGTGACCGGCCCAGTTTAACTTTTCTTGTTTGTTAGGTATGTTATAGAAGAGAATTTTTTTAAAAAAAGTGGCCTTTTGGCCAATTCTTGGTTTGTTTGGCTTCCTTTTTTCAGCTGTGTTGGCATTTTTGTAGAATTATTAGAGACTATTACATGTAATTGCTATATATGTTTTTTAAAAAAAGAGGATATATATTTTAAAATTATTAATATGAAAGATGTTTATTGAAACGAAAACTACTAACGCCATCAACCTTAAATGGAGCCTGCTCAGACAATGGAATACACCATGCAAGCGAGATGAAGAGAGTGGAAGAGAGAAAGGGGGAGGAGAGGAGGTAGAGAGGGGTTAGGAGAGAGGGTAGAGGGGGGGAAAGAGGAGGAGAGAAAGAAGGAGTGGAAAGAGGAGAGAGGAAGAGAGAGGATGGGGAAGTAGAGAAGGATGATAGAGGGAAGAAAGGAGGTAGGGAGGAGGAGAGAGGGAGAAGAGGCAAGAAAGCGATGGATAGGGTATAAATATGGTGTATGGAAAGCAGAAGAGCAAATGATAATAGTCTTTGGGGTTGATGGTCAGAGGAATTGATATAATATTGAATAATACAAAATAGTGTTGGTTATGATGTAATGGTATGTATACATGTGGTTATTTGTATGAAAATAAAATAAATAAAAAACTTATTTAAAAAAAGAGTCATTAGAGACTAATGTGCAGGAGTTAGAAGCAAACCAGCAAACGGAATACAAACCATGCACCTTTTTACATATTATGCCTATTTACAGTTGCGATCGGTGAGTCAAACCCCAACTATGATTTCAAAACGTTGCTTCTTAATCTTAAAATAAAGAGTAGCTTATTCACCAACCCTTCCACCCGTGGCTTTGCAGGATGTATGAACAGACTGGAACAACCTGAAGGACTTAGGATCTGCAGTTATCACCGAAGAATGAGATTTAATTTAGCTCAATTTGTTGGACTGGGGCTGTTGGTGCCAAAATGTATTTATGGCAGTCCTGCAAAAGTCTCACACCAGTGACTTTGCCCTAAGAAAAAGAGGGCAAAGGATTATGTTTGGAGTGTGAAGGTTGCAGTCCAGGGGTCATAGGCAGTCCTTGGCAACCTGAGATATCTGCAAGTGAACCAGGCCCAAAATGTTGGCTCATAATTTTGCAGTTTGGGAGAGCATCATTAAAATCTTGTTATTTTTCCATTCTTCAAGTAGAATGGTTATTCAAATCCTATAAACCCCATGAAATCTTCTAAAACAGCTGGTCTTTCTGTATATCTTTACTCTTTCCTTTTTCTTTCTCCGCCTTCATTAATCACTTATATCTTTCATTGTACACTGAGAGCTTATGCCAGTGGTGGGTTTCAAAATTTTTTGGAACCTCTTCGGTAGGTGTGGCCAGCTTTGTGGGAGTGGCTTGCTGGCCATGTGACCAGGTGGGAGTGGTTTGCTGGCCATGTGACTGGGTGGGCATGGCCAACCTGTAAAATGTGGTAAAACTCACTTAACAACGATCTTGCTTAGCAACCAAAATGTTGGCTCAGAAACTCTGGCTTTTGAAGCACGCAAGTCTTAAAGCTGTCAAGTACAAGACACTTGCACCCCTAAACCTTTAGAAAAAAAAAACAGGGGTGTTCAAACTTGACAGCTTTAAGACTTGTTGGCTACCGGTTCGCCCAAACCAGGAGGGAAAAAAAATGCTACCGGTTCGGGCCAACCGGTATTTCTGACGATCAGCTGTTTCGCGGGATTAATACTAGCTCGAAAGCAGAATTTCCTACTTTGTAGTTAATCTAAATCGTGTGGCACAGCGGATTTCTTCCCCTCTTGCTGTTCTACTTACCTTTGTAGGCGCGCTCGGTAGCAGGCTACCCCCACCCATCCAGATGTCATCACGGAAGGCCCTGCGCATGCGTGGAGGTGGCACGTTTGAGCTCACATTTGTAAACCCGCAGCAAAGGTACCATATTTTTGGAGTATAAGATGCACCAGAGTATAAGACGCACCAAGATTTTGAAGAAGTAATTTTTTAAAAAAAAGGTTTTGCACTCTGCAGATCTCCCAAACCCTCTGTACATCTCATTTTTTGTGAAAAATGGGGCATGCAATGAGTTTGAGAGGCCTGCAAAGTGCTCCTTGGGGCTGAGGGGGGGGGGGGACAAACAAAAAAATGGCCCATTTTTCATGAAAACGGGCCTATTATTTGCCAAAAAAGGGCATACATAGGCTTTGGGAGACTAGAGTGGTCCTGGAGGGATGGTGGGGGGGACAAGTAAATATTGATTTTTTGCTCGTTTTTGCCCTCTTCAGCCCCCAGAAGCACTTTGCAGGCCACCCAAACATTCTGCACATCCATTTTGATGAAGGGAGCAGGGTTTCAGGAGGCCAAAAATGCTGTGTTCAATATATAAGACACACCCAGATTTTCCCCCTCTTTTGGGGGGGGCAAAACAGTGGTGGGATATGACCGGTATGCCCTGGTACGCTGGGAGTACCAAGTACCATTCCGGTATGGTGCTCCGGAGGGCCCACCTGCCCGTCCGTCCTCCTTACCGGTATTTCAGCCGATCGGGGCTTCCTCGCACGTGCATAGAGCGAACGGTGCCTGTACGATGCTCCACCGAGCAGCTGGAGCGTCATGGAGCATCGCAGATGGTAAGTACACATGCGCGTGCTGTGCGCATGCATGTGGTAGACGCCCAGCCCCGTTGCACCATACCGGTTGCAACGGCATGCGGAACCCACCAGTGGGGCAAAAGGTGCATCTTATACTCCAAAAAATACCGTAAATAGATTTCACCCCTGCTCCAACCTATCAACTTCCCTGCCAACCACTTACCATGTCAGCCAACGCAATGTACAGGAACATCCCGCCTGCTAGAGCGAAGATCCAGTTGGCTGAGAAGTGGCTGCCGGCCAATATACCAAAGCCCAGGCCCAGGTAGCAACAGCAAGCCGAGAGGAAGTTGAAGAAAAGGGCTTGCTGGATTGTCATCCCAGCATTCAGCAGAATGACGAAGTCTCCTGCAAAGACGAACCACAATTCCAAAGAAGTTTAGAAGGAAGGGGTTGCATTGGAAATGCAAAGCTTTGAAGAGCTGATGCCCAATGCACTGAGCCAGAAGCGTTTTGCGTTTTTCAAATCAGCTTCTCCCATATTATCAACATACGTTTCTGCTGCTGATATATGTTCTGACTGAGGCTTCCCCAGAGCCTGAAGCAAACTCCTTGTCCCGGCAAAACCCCTTTTTATTAATTTCCTGTGAATTCTGCTCATTCACATCCAGCAAAGTCTTTCAAGGGAGGATTTACGGTCACAGAACTTATCTGGTTTGGAGAGCTGACAGACTGATCTCTGCAAAACTTGGCAAGGAGTCTCGGAGAGTCACGAACCAATTAGGTGAACTAATTGTCTCCTGCAAACTCCACTCCCCTTTTGCTCCTCTTTTATTTCTTGGGGGGTGGGGGTGGCATTCATTGTCCGCCTGTGGCCTTACTCCCAAGTCGACCCCTCTTCTTTAGCTGCTCCCTTCGTCTGGCAACTCTGTGCATGCACATGGCATATAAAGCGCCTGCGCTGCACTCCACCTAGCAGCTGGAACATTGCAGAGGCATC